AAAGTACTTTAAACTGTATAAATAATGTAAAATTAAATTGAATTTATTAGCCAATCAGACGAACTTCTGTCTATGAATCTAATGTCTATTCAGTATATTAGCTATCTAAAATTAACAATCGGATTACTTTAAATCATATATTTTGTTTGTTAGACATCATTAGACCATCATTAGACCATCAGACTGTCTATTGAGCCTATCGGCTTGTATATTGACTATTCACAACCCTGCAAGAAGTATAGACAGAGTAAATAGAAAATACTTATTCAAGCACAAAGTTGCCGTGGCCTTAATCCACGGACCAAATTCTTCCACGCCTCTTTCGTAGTGTCATGGGGTTAAGCGATACTAACAGTTTAGCACCGAATTATAGCCAGATACGGATCTAACGAACACTCTCCTATTTATTTATTGAAACGATATTAATGATAATAATATTGAGCATGACTTTCTTTATTAGTTGAATTTAACTAGAACAAGATCTCTCTAAAACCTCTAAAGCATGTATTTCACTTTCCCTTCACATCTCTTATTTATACCATACATACTATACATTTACGTTATTACTAATTACGTAATTTAACTCTATTATGGTTCTGTTATGCATAGTTCACTTCGAGTTACCGTCACTTACGTGATATGTAGCCTACCATTTTGGGTTTAGAGTCTTGTGGGTTGTATATATAAATGATGTTTTAGTTGTTATTAGTAGTTAGTTGGTTACTACCTATTAGACACCACTTTTACTGTACGATGCTGTTGGATGCTGTTTACCAAAATTAGGAACTTAGTCAACGATCTTTTAACAAGAATGTAGACTATTTTACGATATGGAAATCATTCAATCAAGATTGTGTATGAAAGTAAAACCCGATTTTAACCATACGTTCATTCCACTACGTTCCTGATATTAAATTATCCACAAAAATAATATATCTGCTAAATTAAATTAAGATATTGTTATCATAATGGAATTTAATTTTATTTATAGGTTTTACAATTTTTCATCAGTTTTGTATTGTTTGCTAATTTCACTAGTTTATTGTATTTCGTCGGCTTTCGTAATCTTCTCCAGTTTCGCAATTTCGCCTTTTAAACTAGGTTACAACTTTAACCAACGCAAACCCACAGAATTCTCTCCAGTAGATAGTGAAAACATCGGTAAATTATATTAGACCACATGTTAGACAATATTTCATATGTAAAAGATTATTTTTTAGAACAGAGAAATCAAAATTTAGTATCATAGATTTAGTTGGATAACGATGCTGCGCATTTATCCAATGTTATAATAATAATTAATAAATGATCTTTTTATTCACAGACGACGCTAACATTACAAAAGTGAATTTAAATACAAATATTTAAATGTTTAAGATGTTGAATTTAATGCGAAGATCAATGAATGTTCTATCATTTCTTAAATCTAAACGATTATGTAATTATGTTGCGTAGCAGTAGCTACTTATTAAATGGTCATCGTGGCAATAACGGTAATAAAAAACATATGCACCTTATCCATTGAATTTTTATATAGAGACAATTCTCACAAATCGCTCTATAAGGAAATTCTGTAAATTTTTTACTTAAAAGCCGCCAGTTCGTTACAATAAGTGTTGGTTATATTATGTTCGATTTTAATCCTGAACCTTCAAGATGACAAGCACTAAGCCTATATAAATTTTTACTGTACTGCATTTTTTAAAATTTTTGCTAAGGCATTCAGCACTCGTGTCAATTTACGATTCTGACTTCCAGAGGCTTTATAATGCCTTTCTCGGTACTTTAACGTTTTTCTCTCTTCCTTTTTTACATTTTGTAAATACTGACCGATATTGGGTAGGTTATATAATTGTTGTACAAGACTAAATATGTCCTCAATAGATGGTGAGCATGATGGAGGCTCATCGTTTTCAATCTTCTTTTTAATAGCTTTTACCTTTTCATCATACTTTCTTTTTGTCTCTTCAAGTCCTTCAAGGATCTCATTATTGTAATTTTTAGAAGTATTTTTTTTCTTTTTTTCAAGACATATAATATAATCAAGGTATTCTGCATAGGTGTCATTAAAAGTAGCTATTGCATTTTGTGATAGAAATTGTGTAAATTGAATCACAATATTGTCGACAGTATTTTGTTGTACTTTTAGTTGGTCGATCTTTTCTTGGAGCATTTTTATATGGTTTTGCTTGTCAATTTGATCTAATTTATTTTCAGAGATTTTATTTTCTATATTTTTATCGAAATTTTCTGAATATTTAGATATGCTTTTATAAAAAATTGCTTTATGATTTTTCGCATAGCAGCCACAGGATTTACACTTTCCAAATATCATGACACCATTGCGCTTTTGCATAAATGCGTTTAGCATTTTCCACTTAATATGGCAGCTTTCTGCTGTTTTATCAACAACTGATTTTTTACAAATACTATTCGTGCATACAACTCTGGGACGATCCAGTCGAATTAACTCAAGCCCTATATAAGGAATGTATAGCTTGCTTTTAAGCTCTTCAGCAGTTATATCAGATCTCTGTATTTCTTTTTTTAACTTTTCAATCTGGACAATATTTTCTTGAATATTTAGGATTACTTCTGCAAGAGGTTTATAAAGAATCATCACTATTTGTCTAGCATTATTAAGTGATATAGTATCAATAATTTTATGAGGTGTACAGTTTATCATGCGTTCAATTAGTCTCATAGATTCATTCGCAGATTTTTCCCAACTAGACGCGAAAACTTCCTTATCTGTAAATGACATCCCTTTCTTAACTGCTGCTAGAAATCTAAATGATTCGTTATCAAAACAGTATACTGTATCCTTACAAATCTTTATCTCAATATCAGACTTTTTTTGAATTTCACTAAGTTGTCTCTTTAGCACTGGTAATGTATCTCCTGGACGAAAGAACGTTCCTCTTGTATTAGTAAAACAGAAAACAATATTATCCTTAGCACTTTTATGAAGGTGTGATAGTAATTCTTGTATGCAATATTTAAATATTATATTCAGCCGCGCATTATTAGGTTTAAGGAGTATGCAAATTCCATTCAGATAGTCATATTGGCTAATACAATTTAGGATATTTTCAAAATTTTTTTTATCATGCTCAATTCCTCTGGTATCTCCTATACCAGGTGTATCGATCAATCTTATAACTTTATTTTCATCTACAGGGAACACATATGCTTCACATTCTTGAGTAGATGACTCGCCTACGTTATCAATTACGTCATCTCTGTCTTCATCTTCTTCATTATCATTTTCACTAACTACTGATATCATTTTCATTTCGCAATCCTCGTTTGTTATCGTAAATCTACATGTGATTAATACATTTATCTCTCCAGATATTGCCTCATCTAGACTATTAAATTTAAAATAATTTGCAAATGCGTTTATAAATGTAGATTTTCCTGCTCCAGTTTCACCGAGCAATAATATGTTTACTTCTTCTCGCGAAGCTACAGAAACAGCCATATATTGATGCGAAAATTGTGAAATTATACAGTTTAAATTAAGATTTTCGCTCTCAACACGTTAGCTTTAATGTTTATAAAATTATAATTATGAATAAATATAAATTTATTGTAAATATGAACTTTGCCAGCAAAACTATTTCAAAATGACATTTATAATCATAAATTTTCTAATAAAAGGTTAACAGCAAAAAGTTAAGACGGTTTTAACACTTAAGCTCATACATTGTAGGTACTTACGCACATATATGTATGTATTATAACATTATTGGAATAAATAATCATACCATATTAAAATACAGGTTATCATAATAAATCTTGTGCTGAAGGCTGTTACTCATATTGCCAAGTAACATTACAGTACTATACTACATAGTACATAGTTGCAGAAATCTAACATATCCTCATTACAAGCACGCTATTCTATTCGTATGTTATTGCTGAAAATTATTTCTCCGAATAAATGAAAAGATAAATTTGGCATATCATCAATGAGAATTTGTTTTGTGTCGCAGCGCAATATTTATTTATCAAGCTGGATTTTATTTTGTACGTATGTAATTAAAGTACGAAATAAAAATTTGATGCAAATAAATACGCATTCATAATTCTTATACTAAATTTTCTCTTAATTATCAATTCAAAGAATAATTTTCAGTAGTACATGAGTGAATAGTATCATTAAGAATGAAAATTTTGGTAATTCATGATTTTCTGCAACTTGCGTACGTACGTACGTACTGCAGTACTACACATAGTCATGTGGTCAATACCGATACTGCGTAACAGACTTTAGCTTGTATTTTTAAGTTGGTATGATTATTTATTCCAATAACGTATGTACCTAAGTGCTAAAATAGTCTTAACTTTGTTGTTGAATTTTATTAGAAAATTTAATAATTATAAAAGTTATTTAGAAACAATTTTTGCTAACATAATATCGTATTTACAATACGATTCATATTTATTCAGAACTTTAAAATTATTTAAAATCTTTTAAATTACATAGTTTCACATATTTTGGCACATATATGGCAGCTTCAAAAGAAGAAATAAACATCCTATTACTCGGTGAAACTGGAGTAGGAAAATCTACATTCATAAATGCCCTCGCAAATTATTTTAAATTTGATCGTTTCAACGATGCAATTTCCGGTGAAATAGATGTATTAATCACATCCAGATTTACGATGACAAACGATGACTACGAAATGCAAACGATAACGGTAACTAGCGAAACTAGCGAAGATGAAGACGAATATTACATGGTGGATGAAGTAGGGGAGTCATCTACTCAAAAATGTGGTGTCTACGTGTTTGAAGCAGATGGAGGTAGAGTTATAAGGTTGATCGATACACCTGGGATAGGTGATACCAGAGGGATTAAACACGATGAAAAAAATTTTGAAAATATCTTAAGGAATATAAGTCAACACGAATATCTTAATGGGATCTGTATACTCCTTAAACCTAATAATGCACGAATGAATATAATATTTAAATTTTGCATACAAGAGTTATTATCACATCTTCATAAAAGTGCTAAGGACAATATTGTCTTCTGCTTTACAAACACGAGAGGAACATTCTTTCGCCCAGGAGATACACTCCCAGTGTTAAAGAGACAACTCCAGGAATTTAAAGAAAAATTTGACATCGAAATAAAAATTTATAAAGATATTATTTATTGTTTTGATAATGAACCATTTAGATTTCTAGCAGCACATAAGAAAGGAATGAAATTTACAGATGATGAAAAGAAAAACTTCGCATCTAGTTGGGAAAGATCTGCAAAAGAATCTGAGAGACTCCTCCAATACATTAAAAAATGTACACCTCATAAAATAATTGATACCGTATCACTCAACAATGCCAGACAAACAGTGCTATTACTTCGCGAACCTCTTGCAGAAATAGGTAAAAATATCCAAGAAAACATTGTTGAAATTATAAAGCTAAAAGAAGAAATACAAAGAAATGACTTCACTAACCAGGAGCTTAAAAATAAGTTGTATGTTCCACATTTAGAGCTTAAGATAATACCAATAGATCGGCCTAAAATTGTATGCAAAAGTAGCGAATGTCAAGCACATTATATCGGTACAACAACGAGAATCTGCCATGTTAAATGGAAAGACTTACACAAAACACAATATCTTTACTTTACAACCTTTTTATCAAATTTTTAGCTTCAACTTCTTGTCACCTTTTCCACCTAACCTGTGAAATTTTACAAAATTAGTTACTTAATACTCTATATTTTTCTTATTAACTATAACTTGAAATAAAAACTTAAGGTTGTGGGATTAAGAGAGATTAAACAAATATTGTTTTCTATAATATAAAAGCTTCAAGTTTATTTATAAACTTATTGGCACATAGCTAATAATGCAATCGAGTAATACAAGATATAAAAAGTACTTTGAAATAATATAAAAAAAAAAATTATAAACTGTGTAATATTAAACAATAAGAGGCACTGCTTATGGCTTTTTTTCCATTTTGAGAAAATCGCATTTCAAATTTGGTGTAACAATAACAATGACAATCTATTATTAGTAACAGGGGAACCGTCACATCATTTGTAGATCTGTTACACAATTCATAAAAAACTTATTTATATTGTTTTAAAGTACTTTGTCGAAAAGCTGACGTTACTTACCCCACTTTGAAACACGAAGTAGTGCTTTGTAAAACTTGAGAGCTTCGTACAGTATTTTAATAATATCAGTTGAATCTTAGTGAATCCCACAGCTTTTATATGATGATTTATCTTGCAAAAGTATATATGTAACCAAGTATTTTGAGAAATGCCGAACTACAATTCCTAAACGTTGAGCAATAAAAACTAAAAAAAAAGTAAAAGCGATGATCTAGTAAAGGTAACGTGGGTTTGAAAGTTAATTTATAATATCTTTTTCTTATATGTTTATAAAAAAAAAACCTTTAAAAGCTTAAAAAACTTAAGTAATAATATAAATTAACTATCTTTTTTTTTATTTTTATACAATTTTTAATACAGGATAAGTGTGAAAGACAATATAAAAAGTATCTAAGATAAGATTGTATAAAACTTTAAACTTCTATAAGAATAACCGTTGTATGATTAGAGATTATATAAGATATCCGGGTTCGAGATTATATACATGAGTCTTTATAAATTATATACACGAAAGTCTTTATAGATAATGGTATTAGAAGTTAGTGCGTTATTAGTTAATAAATAAACAGAACAATGATATGCTTACTCATTTAGCGAAAAAATATATTGCATATATTTTAAAGTTAAATTCATATACTATAGCTTTGATTTTATCTTGATTTTGTGTTATTTTTTGTATTTTTTTATTCTTTTAAACTTGTAATTTGATTGGCTAAACAACATATAACAATACATGAATATTGTATAACATTGGATGGTTCCCCTTGTTCGAACAGTATCACTGTCAAAATTTTACTGTCATGTAATAGTGTTTATAGTGCACTAAAAAATCTTTAATCTCATATAAATTAGGTTAGGGTCTACAAGGTTAGAGTTATAAAGTTTTATAGTAAAATTGTTCAAGGAAATTTTTTTGTTAGAGCACAAAAAATAGTTTCTTATGTAAATTTTAAAGATATAAGTAATTTTTGAAAAAGCAAACATTTTGTTTTGATCTTTCTGATTGTGTTATGTTACATTAAAATGAGACTTGCAATTGGATAATTATCACGTAATGGTGAAATTTTGATGGCGATGCTGGGGTAGTTAGGGTGAACCAATATATTATGAGATTAGCACGTGATTTCTCTGATTTCTTTATCTTCCTTTACCAAAAAGTTGCAGTTATGTGAAGATCGAAAAATTTTTTAAAGTTTGTTTAGATTAGGATTAGAGTCTATACTAAAGTTAGAGTTAGAGAAGCTTTAATAGTAAAATTGCTCAAGAAAAACTTTTTTTAGAGCACTATAGGTAGTTTTTTATATTGCTTTTTGAGAAACAAGCAATTTTTAACAAAGCAAATGTTTGTTTTGAATTTTTCTAACTATGTAACATTATACCTAATCTTGAAATCTAATTTGTTTGTGCTACAAAATTGTTATGTAACTGCTAGAGCTACAAATATTAGAATATCAATGAACATATACTATGATATTTGACATGATGTATGTAATATAACATTTAATATGATTATATATAAATTTTATATGATATAAAGAGTAATGTACTACCTCAGACCTTCTAAGTATTTGTAGCTCTAGTAATTGCAACTTTTTGGTGACAATACTGGGGTAGTTAATTTTTTTGATTTTTGATTCTATAAATAAGATAAGTCAAAGAAAAATTAGAAAAATTATAATTATATAGATTTTTTATAATATAATAGTTTGTACCTGCCTATACCTTTTGAAAACAACTTCGATTAAAATGAAAACAGAATACTATTATTAAAATATATATATATATATTTTTTTTTAATATATAGAAAAATACCCTGAGTATAGCACCTACCTCAAACTTTTATTAATACTTAAGTGAATTGACATATAGTAGTACTATAAATATATACATATTATATATTAGAATTGAGACTAGGATTTTAGATATACAAACTATTTATTCATAGCTAAAACTCATCAGAGCTATTAACATTCTTATATATATGATTGACCTGGATTTTGTGTATTCTTACCTGCCTTTAATTAACTTTTATATGTTCTTCACTTCATCTATTTTATCTACTATCTCAACTTTCAAATTGGTATATTAATGCTTTAGGTAGACACTTTCTGCTTTCAATTTGATATACCTAGTTTGTATTTCTATTTGGCATACTTGTTAGAAGTTCGTATCTTAAGTCATGCAGCTGTCTCTACCACATTGGATAAGTATCTCAAGCCTGCATATTACCACAACTGCCAACTTTTCTGTAACTTTCAGAACCCAGGTCTTAACATATTGAATTCAGTAATTATATGAATAGCTATACTTCCCTTTATAATAGTAAGATGCTTGGGCATGTTTTGTGACAAATTATTTTGTACTTTCAAAGCCTTTTATAGTTGGATGGTATTATGAGGCTCAGGGTTTGTAACAGATGCATTATTATTTTTTTTATAGTGATTCTTGGTAGTTGTAGCCCCTGATTATACACTGTATATACTTGTACTAGCTATACTAGTTTTGGTAGTTTTAGGCTCTTATAATATCTAAAAATTCCTATATGGATATGTCTAGAGCTCCATTGGGTCTTGATACATACACACCTCCATGCTTTAGCCTCTTTTTAGTAAATAATTTTACATAGTACCAGAGGTGTTCCAAATCTGGTAAAACCAATTCTTTGTCACAGATCTCTTTGTATTCACTACTTTTTCCACTACTCCAATTTTAGTTACTGCCTAGTCATCCTTTCAAACAAATTCCAATACCACCTTAGGGTTGTTGGTGCTATCTATACTAACCGAAAATTTACATACACAATTTTTATATAATAGAACCTTCTATAACAACTGTAGTTACACATAGTACTAACTTATCTACAATAGATCTTCTTCCAAATATTTCTAGTTTAGACTTGTACTTACTTAGACTTCTTATAGTAAGTATATTCAAATATTTATAGAATCTATATCTACTAAAACTTGAATCTAAAACCTGTTTATAGAGAGTTAGATATCTAGACCACTAGGCTGTAGCTCCCAACCCCATTAAAATATGCTTTTAAATATCAAACTTTTAATAATCAAGTTTATTTTGATATTAACAAATAATTATATAACTAAAAGATATTAACCAAGAGGTGTATACTATTGTTAAATTAATAATTAAAAAACTTATTTAGATTCTTTAAAAGTTGAGTTTGAAAAAAATCTAAATTCAAAAGGCCAATATCTGGTTTTCTCTTAGTGCTCATAAAAAGTATTACATTGCTATGAATTTTTGGAATTGAAGAACCTTGAATTATATCATATTCTTTATAATATTGTCTTTATATTTCAATGCTAGTTTTAATTATTTTTTTAGCCTTACTATTATTTTAATTATTATTATTGATTACTATTCTTATCATAATTATCACTATTATTTTTACTATTATTATTATTATATTATTACTATTATTATCACTATTATCACTATTATTATTATTATTATTATTATTATTTTTACTTTGTTTAATATTTTTTTTTTTTTTAAAATCTACTTTTAATATATTAACTATAATCTCTAAATGGAAATAGTACAGAATATTGTAAAGAATTATAAATACTATTTAGTTTAAATATTCTTTAAAACTTATTATCTGTTTTTCTAATAAGAATATCTTTTTTCTTTTAGTATTTGATATTACTAGAAAATACATAGCATTTTCAATCTGGAACTACTATTAATATTAAAAATTTTATTTACAAATATATACAGTATATATATAGATATTTATAAAAAATTAATATTGTGCAGAAAAAGTATAGATATATTTAGTATTGATAAAAAAGTGATCATAGTATAACATAGATCATATAGCATATTTAGCCAATCATAAATGCAGAAACAACAGACAGACAAGATCAAGTGATACTAATTAATCACTTGTTGTTATAAAAACAGAGAGTCCTTCATTATACTTCACACAATTATAAATTATATCTACAGTCATCCTCCTTTATAATCATACCTTCAAAATACAAAAAACTGTAATTATAGAGAGGTGTAATTAATATAAAGATTACATATATAGTTATAATTATATTACAAATATAAAAAGTGACTATATAGAAATTTTTTTAAAATAAATTTTTAAAAAATTCTTATTGTCTGGAGCATAGCAGAGAACACTCTGTTTTTACGTCTATATTTGATCTACAACATTACGTAATTCTGTCTGTTCACTTCTGCATCTATGATTGGTTGTCAATCATGAGCTTATTAATAATTTAATTAATCAATTATTTAGCTTTAGACACACAATACTATGCATTTCTCTAGTTAAATATAGGATTTAATTAGGCATTATATGCTGTGATGTGCTTATACATTGTATTTTAAGAATTAACCAATTAAATTTAAAGATCAGGTATAATATAAAATTAATTTTGTATAACAAAAATAAAAAAATTTTTTAAAATTTTGAAATAGCTCAAAATATCATCTATAAAACTGCTTTTTGAGCTCTAATAAAAAAAATTTCTTGCAAAATTTCAATATATA